ATTAGGTATATCTCATCACGTATCGAAAATTGTATCAAAAAATGCTTAGAATGAATAAAGATATCTTTAAAAATTGATTTATCAGTACCATAGAAACATCAGAGAAGAATTTCATGGTCAATTTTTAACGACATTGTCATTAATTTTTGTGAAATCCTAAAGATTTGTTTCATGAGGTAATCTTAACTATGAATAAACATAATGACGTCATAGCGATTTTAATACTAGGTCATATAGTACAACATATCCAGGATGTGTGTGAATAATGGATGAGCGTTAACTCAATAAGCTAACATTGGAATACAGTATGAATGGGGTAAGATAATTGAAACGGTCTTGTCAAAACGATTAAAAGTATTAGGGGGGATTAAATAAAATGATATGAGGAATACTTAGAAAGAGGTGGATATTTTCAAATGCAAAGTAAGTGAAACGAAAATAATTATTATAATAATGATGATAGTAAAGGCCAAGGTAAAAAGAGAAATAAAACATACATTTTGTACACAAAGTTCAGGCTTCATTTCGCAGATAGTAGAAATTTCTGTTGTTTTAAGAGATTCAATTTTATGAAACCTTAGTGAATTTTGATGAATTCTATCAGCAACATTAAAACGAATTTATTGATTATTTGATCAAAGTTTTAGTGATACAACCTTTAACAACTTTTTTCTCATTCTTGTAGAATTGTATTGTGTTCAAAGCAAGTCTTGATTATGTCTTATGCATTTTGTTTCACATGAGTAGATGAACCGGCAAATGCATATAGTGGAAATTAGATTAGGGAGCTTATCGTTCTCGAAAAAATTAAATAATGCCATCTAAAGCTGTATACATTTTTACGACCTCGTATCGACCATTGTATGGTGATCGTTCTCAAACACTAGCTGTTTGATGAACTCTGTAGGTGGTTACAGTTTAGATGTACGACAGCTGTAATAAGTGAATATCGGTCTTGTTTTTGTGGTTATCTATACTTGAAACAGCGAGGTTTTTGTGTTCCTGCTACCCCTTTTTACCATATTTTTTTACTATCATAATATGCATACGTTTGATGGGTAGTTATTCATGCGGCTATTATAGTTGATTTATGAGTTATGTAGAGATTCTGTCTGCCGAATCAGTTTAAAAAGGATTTAGCAGTCTTATTATGACCTCCAACAACTTATTCATGTAAGGGATCATATAAATGATAATTAAATTGACAGTTAAATTTGTATAAATCCAAGTAGATAATTATTCCTTTAAATTAAAATTACTAAACAATTTTTCTAATATCTGTTGATAAATCGTATTGTTTCCTTTTCATAGATGATTTCATGAACTGTCCAAATGTAGATATTACCTGTCATTCTGTTTCTGTTAATTAGAAAAAAAAATACTGAAAACTTCCTTTAATCTAGAAAGCTTTTTAAATTCACTTGGTGTTGTTTTACTTGTATCTTTCTATGGCGGTTGGGGCGAGCGGTACTAGGTTCGAGTCCTGGGGTGAACATCAACTCCGAGATGCAGGTAAACCCAGATGACAAGTCCCAAATGGGACTAAACGCGCATTCTGGATTTCACTGTTAGCCACTATCCATCTTTGCATGAAAAGCTTTTTGTCTATAGCAAACGTTACCTGGGGAATATCCAAAAAACAACTAGAAAACACTGAAAAGATATTTTATCATAGTTCAGTAGATTTTATCAGCATCACTTTTTGCATTGTCTCTTTTAGATGATCATCAAAATGAATTGATTAATTTCGTTATTCACAGAAAGATAAAAAATTTCATAGAAGTTAATTTAATAATCAACACTTAAAAAAATTCAGTTAGATAAGTTATTGAAAATTAACAGAACCAAGTGACCCACACAAGATTTATTTATTCTTCTATGTAACTGAATAGTTCCACTTCAACCATTTACCGATCTATGAATAGCATACAAACAACGTATATTGGTTGATATCAGGTTTCCAAAATATGCATTATTTGCAATTTTATTTGAAAGTGGAATATATCAATGGTCAGCTACATGTAAAACTTAATTCAAAAATACGTAGTAATAGCAATGATAATGAAATTTGCTATATTTAATAACACATTTTTGAGTATCATTGTAATCATGAACCGATCAGTGTTAGACCATCACTGAAAAACTGAAAGCACTGGACGACAGTTTCGTCTTAGTATGAGACTCTCCAGAACTGTGCATCCACGATCCTGCAGGGGGACTCGAACCCAGGACATTCGGTTCCAAGTCTAATCTAACATTGATCGATTATTGATCTCAGTGAAATTGAGTAATCTCCATAAACTCCATACTGGAAATTTTTGGGTACACTGACGAATCTTCAGCTTGAAAAATATGTGATATATCAACAAATTATTGTATTTCTATCCGTCTCATGGTTGCTCAAATAGATGCACGTATATCTATAATTGAATCGACTCTCATGAAATTTATTTTTATTGTATCTACATTTTATGCATGATTTTTAAAGTAATGTGTCATGTTGCCAAGATTGATTGATATCCCTAAGTTCACCAGTTAGAATTCCGAATACAAATTTTCTCTCCCGTGTCTGCTATTCCGTTCTCATCATAATGTCCTTCGTTTTGCATTTATTTAAAGTAGCATACTCGAAAATCTTGTTAATCAAGAAGTTGATTAAGACGTCAGTATCTCAAGCTTTCCGAAAACTAAACACATCAAATGTTTACATTTTGCCTTCAAGCCGTAAAGTATGTCTTAATGATCTTATTTCTAAGTCTTATCTGACGAACTTGGAAACTTAAAACATTGAAATTTTGTTGTTCTTAAATACCAGACATCAGATCCTACTATCTAGATTTCACTGATTATTAGAATTGTTATTTTCGTTCTATTTAATGTTCTTCCACTTTTTGATTGGTTAGTTGTATACATCAAAGGCTGTCTATGATATTTCTATCAATGTTTAAAACTTATATCGAAAGAATAACTTGAAAGCATCAGAAATTACCAATAGATTGTTACAAGTATCATATTAAAGACAAAATGTTATAGTTACCAATGAAAGTTTTGGAATAGAACTTCACAATTCCAAGACAAGCCTTCAACTTAAGTTATTTTTCTTAAACCTATCAGTTTGATAAGGGTAGGAGGCTTGATGGCCTGTGTTAAATGTACTAAAAAAATTACCAGACTTTTACACTATTATAGTTATATCAAAAAAAGTATCTTAAAATGTGATTTACGAAAATGAAAGATTGACATTTAGAAAAAGTAATATCTATTCTCTTAAGTGTTACATTGCCTGCTTTTACATTTTTCATTGTTATATATTTACATTGAAGCAATATAGAAAACAACTGTCGAGTATGAATCACAAAAAATATTGTGTATTTTGATCGTCGTACAAATATTCATGTTGATGAATTGAAGAACTTTTGTTTCGAGGCGTCGCTTGTATTGTAGTTTAATCCCTTTTGGAGTAGGTGTTCTTCTATTTTTGTTAGTGGTTGTTTTGACAGGTTGATCACGCAATTTTATGTGTTTTCTTCCATGGGTGGTTTTGAGATCTTGATTAGTTTCTTCTTCAGGGTGTTTCTTCTTTGTTCTCTGTGTCGTTTGAATGATATTTCGATGGCTGTTGTCAAGATTTCCAAATGTTCTGATGTGAGTATCCTTTGTAACTTTGTTTTTTGGTCCTCTTTGACGTGTTGGTATTTGTGGATCCTGTATTGTGCATCCGTTATCATTAGGTGTACCATTTTTCTTCCAATTTGCTCAGCTATTCTCTATCCCAACGGGCACTTTGTTGGAGGTCTGTATCTTACACTTGTTAGTATAACATGCTGACGAAGACACTCTTGGAGAAAATACCGTTTTTCTCGATTGGAAGCCTGTCTTTTGGCGAAATTCTCCCATTTTCGAAGAGCCAGAAGGGCAATAACCTCATATGATTTTGAGATGGAGAAGATTTGTAGCTCAGGTGGATGATTTTGATGCTACAACTGACTTCTACCGGAAGTTTATGCTGGTGATGTCGTTTAGAAGAACTATGAAAGCTCCACGACCAAACCATCCAGCTCAGAGAATAAAACACCTGCTTGTATTTATCACAGAATTCCGTTATTTAAAAAAAACTGAATTAACTAATTTTACTATCACATAAACAAGTCCCTTTATGTAATAGTACATGTTAGTATATTTAAAACATTTCTCGACAGATAGCTGACGGATAAGTAGCCTGAACTTAATTATTGTATAAAGATCTCATCAAAAGTTGTAAACGCGTCTTGCGGATGATTATCAGTTATCGTAAAACTCTTGATCTATGACATGAGTACTTTTTATGTATCCTTTAACCCTAGTAATAATCGTTAGGGTGCCAATTAGTCAAAGTGTTAGTTGTTGTTGATGTCTTTGAGCCAGATGGCTTAACTGTTGAGCTTTCATTATCGTTCTAGGCAACATTGTCATTTATGTAGCGGACATATTTTTCGTCCTACCATGGGACTCTTCAGAACTTCCAACTCACGAAATATTAAGCGATCAAACTTAGGACCTAAAGGTTTTGTGGCTAGCATCTCATCTTTATACCAGGATTTCATATTCACAGATTTAGTCAGTATGCATTTGGGGAGGGAGAGCTGACTCTCCCCACTCTCGGCCGTACCAGGGCATTTGGGGCTATTCTCCATAAAATAATTACATAAATGTATCTCATTGCGAAACTGACCAAAGAAAATTATTCAATAATACATTTCTAATGAAATTGTTAATATGGATATTACAATAATTTAACTGAAAGTGTTACTTTTTAAGAAAATCTGTCTTGTTTTATTTTCAGATTTTTTTTAAAATTTTCACCATCTTGTTAATGATGACAATGATAAAAGTTAGATAATTGAAGTAAATAAGAAAATGTTTACATATTCAACTTGAATAAAATATGGTTCATACAATGTAACAGTTCATCAATACAAAACAAATAGTTTATATTACCTATTATAGAAAGCAATATTCATATGATGAATAATACACTTACAATGAATTCTGAAATGGATAATAAAACTACCTGTCAACAATATTTTAATTTAAATGAAACAACATATATACCTGATATATATGAATTTAAACAACAACCTATATTAGTTTTAACGGATCAACGACAATTACAAACTATAACATCATTGTCAAATTCTACACTTCAAATAACTCAATCATCACAGATTTCTGTAGAAGATCAAGAATATCAAATCTCTTCACGTGTATCTGACCTAGAATCAGTAAATTTAGATAATAATTTCCATAGAAATTATAATAAAATCAATAATATTACAAAATTATCATTAATACCTATACTTCCAAATAATTCAGTAAATAATACAAAAAACTTATGGTTACTTCAACAATCTTCTGATAATTCAGTAATAAATTCTAATATAAAACGTCATTTTAAACGTCGTGCAGCAAATCATCATTATAATCAACGTCCTATTTGTTATTCACAAAATATAAAATCTAATATTAAGAATAAATTTGGATATAATTCATTTAGTGCTCCATCTTCACTTATATCTAGTGCAATAGCTACTACATATTCAGAATTAAAAAATGAAAAGACTAAAGAGAATGAACAAATGAATTATGAACAATTACAATTATTATTACCTACATTATCAACAGTAAATTTGACGAATGATAATGTTGATCATGATGATCATGAAAATTGTTTAAATCGTAAATTTCTAAATGATTTTGATATTAATTCAAATGAAAATAGTATTGTAGTAACTGAACCAGTACAAATTACTGATCGATCATTTTCAAATCAATCGATTACAAATGATTATAAAGTTAATTTGTTAACATCTAGTGAATGTCTTTCTTCTTCTTTAGAAAATCAAAAATTAGATGATTTACAACATAATACTATTCTTTATAATAGTAGTTATATTAATTTAGATAATGGTAATTTTCCAATTCGTTCACATTCATTTTTTCACTTACGCCAATTAGATTCCCTTAGTTCAAATGGATCTCATTCTAAACCTGATACAGATATATTATATCCTATGAATGGTTCATTCAATCAATTAGCTATTCGTGTTTCCTCATCACCTATGTCAATTTGTAGTAATAATACCTTTCATCAACAGAATAATTGTTCAGAAGATCAATATAATAAAACCACTTTTAATGGTAACAATTATGGCGGTAGTAGTATCAAAAGCAGACGGAGTAAATGCGAGAAATATATCAGTCCGGACAAGCACACTTGCATTAGATCATATTCAGCTATGAGACATCCAAACGAATGTAATATACGTGTATTTCGTTCACCTCTCGATGTCCTTTCACCGTGTAAAGGTAAGAAATTTTGTAGTATTGTATCAAACATTAAATTTTACAACAAGAACATTCTTGGAAACATAACGTACGCTGCTTATTTCTCTAAGTGAACTGTAATCTCTCAAATAAATCCACAATTAAGTCTATATATTAGGGTAATGTAGTGTTGAATAAACTCGTCATGCACCGATACTTTACACCTGCTTGTATTTATCACAGAATTCCGTTATTTAAAAAAAACTGAATTAACTAATTTTACTATCACATAAACAAGTCCCTTTATGTAATAGTACATGTTAGTATATTTAAAACATTTCTCGACAGATAGCTGACGGATAAGTAGCCTGAACTTAATTATTGTATAAAGATCTCATCAAAAGTTGTAAACGCGTCTTGCGGATGATTATCAGTTATCGTAAAACTCTTGATCTATGACATGAGTACTTTTTATGTATCCTTTAACCCTAGTAATAATCGTTAGGGTGCCAATTAGTCAAAGTGTTAGTTGTTGTTGATGTCTTTGAGCCAGATGGCTTAACTGTTGAGCTTTCATTATCGTTCTAGGCAACATTGTCATTTATGTAGCGGACATATTTTTCGTCCTACCATGGGACTCTTCAGAACTTCCAACTCACGAAATATTAAGCGATCAAACTTAGGACCTAAAGGTTTTGTGGCTAGCATCTCATCTTTATACCAGGATTTCATATTCACAGATTTAGTCTGTATGCAGTATTGTAAAGCTACTGTCCATTTACATCAGTAATATATGTCTCTTTTGCTAGGACAAACTTTCTCCCCAGTATTACAGAGTTTTCGTTGGTTGTCCGACTAATCAGTTCAAGATGTAAAGTACAAATAAAACGAGCACATAGAATTGAATATGCTAATATTTTTGACAGTTGTCATGAAATGTTCTCATTTAACCTAGTGTTTAAAATGGTAATAAGTAATCCCTCTAGCTATGATATTGGTTGATATATAATAGGTTTTCAATTTAGACAGAAGTTTTCTCAAACTTACATTCATGTTCAGCTGTCAAACTCATATAGCAGCTAACATGATATCCTTTGTCTTTGAGCTATATAGATTGCTCAATACTCAAATATTCTAACACTAACCTATAATGTTTAATATATTTTATGAATTATCAAATGTAGAATGTTAAATAAAATTACAGTATGATAACTTAATGTTTTCAAGAAATTTAATAATTGAATTCATGAGTCAATCATCATGTGCTCTCTAGTGACTGGCTTCAAGAGGTATTTCCTGGAGTTCTAGTGAAAAGCAGTAACCAGTGTAGTTCAACCAGGTCTGTTGTTAGATTGTAAGTCACTAAAGACAATGGTGGATGTGTCGCTCAATTTGGTGGATTAGTTGAAGTTAGATAATGACACCATTGGCTGTCGGCTTAGTAGTCTAGATGTTAAGTGTTCGCATGCGAGACTGATAGGTCCTGGATTCGAATGTCGCTAGTCGGGATTGTGGATGCGCATTGATGAGGTGTCCCACAATAGGACGAAACGACCGTCCATTGCTTCTTGATTTTTCATGGCGGTTTAGCTTCAATGGACTCATTATCTCAACTATTGAAATTACAAACATTTTATTTAGGAGTCACAGTAGTCTATATTCTGAGCCTAAAATAAATGATCATGAATATAACATTATGTCCATTTATATATTGTACTGGTTAGGTAAATGTAATACTATAAATAACCGATAGGAATAATTCGGTGTTGTACTGTTTTTTTATCTCCGCATCGATGTTTAGTACTGTAGTTGCTTATAACCGATAGGATTATTAGCACATTTAATATATAATCACGTTTAGTTTGTGATAAAAGCATCTCCAGTAAACAGTTGCTCTTTCATTATTACATACTTACACTTTACTTACTCATAGTCCACCAACCAGTATTCTCCAACCAACTCTGTCCTGGGTTCTGCTTTGCAGTTGTTTCCAAGTACTATGGATTCTTTTCATTTCTGCTTCCAATTCCTGACGCAATGTGTTCCCTAGTCTTTCTCTCTCCCTGTTCCTTTCAGGATTCCATGTCAGGGCTTGCCACTTGATGAAGTCTGATAAATTCCACAGTGTATGTCCTACCAACTGCCATAATCTTTTCCGAATTCCCCCTTAAGCTAAGCTGGTTTGTCCACTGCCATATTAGGTTATTGTTGATGGTATTCGGTCAAGGGACACTGAGTACCTTGAGTAAACATTTGCTTATAAATATCTGCACATTTTTGATGACGGTTGTAGTAATTTTACAACTTTCAGCTCCGTGCAGTAGGACTGTCTTGATGTTTGCATTGAAGATTCTTTGATGTTGGCTGACCGTTGTTTTGAGTTCCATATATTCTTCAACCGTAGGAGTGCCTCAATTGCCTGGCCAATCCTCGCCTTTACACCTACATTCGATCCTTCTCATTTATCGATGATAATGCTCAGGTACGTAAAACTTTACACCACCTTCGGAGCTTATCCATCGAATGTTGTTGGTTTGGAGCTCTCTGTATTGCATTTCGGGATCTTGCCTTCTCTCATGTGTATATTGAAGCCTACTTCTGCGTAGGCTGCTCCTATACTGTCCAAAGTCCAACTCATCTATTTACATCCAAGTCGTCCATTTTATTCCAAGATTCCCCTCATATGTGAAGGTCTTGATTACTCAATCGATCACCAGAAGAAAAAGGAATGGTGAGAGTAAGCAGCCTTATCTACCACCGGTTCCATTGCATTGATTATTCAACAATGATCCATAGTGTTGTGTGGCGGTTTGTGCACGACGGAATCCATCCTGTTGATCTAGAAGTTGAGTGTACGTTGAATATTTCATTCTGTTCAACATCACTATGTCCAGGGTTTCGATAGACATTCATTCACTACAATAGGGCTTTCTGCGGTTCACAATCTGTTTGCACGTTGAAATGAGTGCTTCTTTGATCCCCTTCTAGTTGCTCACCAAGTACTTTCCTCTTCTTTGAGTAGATCTTGTAAGGATTGAATTTGTTGCTAAGAGCTATCCGGAATTCACCGAGTTTGTCACTGTCACGAATTAAGGGTGTTCTAAATCTTTATAATGCTGTTTCCCTGGCTGTCCAGCTTTTCTTTAGATTCAGTTTCATCTTGACCACCATCAGGTAGTGATCTAAAGCTACGTCAGCTCCTCTCTCGGTTCTCACGTCTTCGATGGATCTTCTGAATTTTTTAGTGATGTAAATATGATCCATTTGGTTCTTCATGATGTGATTCGGTGAAACCCATGTAGCTTTGTGTATGAGTTCGTGTGGGAATATTGTGCCAGCTCTTGCCAGTTTTTAAAGGCGCGTAATCTCGAAAATCTGTTACCGTTTTCCATCTCTTTCTCCTAGTTCAAGTCGTCCTATGATATATTCATCCGTGGTGTTGTCCATTCCGACCTCAACGTTTAAATCTCTCATTGTAAAATTCGACAATCGGAAGGAGGAATGTGTATATATTGTGAAAAATTACTAATTATTTACATAAAAATCATACACAGTCGTTAAATGTCTATTTGCATCTTTCGGCGTGCGCTGCAGTCTGAACAGTCTTCTCATATGATATCCAAGTGTTACGCTAACGCCGTAATTTCGATGTACTGAAGCTCTTCACTCCACCTGACAATTGTTACAACTTCGAGTCCATACTACTTACAAACAATCTTCGGAGTAGTGCCCACTACACCATCAGAATGGTCAGGTCTTTTCCTGGGCATTTCTGTACGATTAACTTTTGCCTCTAATGAAACTGATCTTTTGCGTCTTGTTCACTTTCACCAATGGGTACGTAGCACTAGATAACATTTATTGAGATTCCCTCCTTCGTTTTGAAGGATGCTTTGATTATTCTGGATCCATAGAATTCCAATTTTATAAGTGTTTTTCGTGCTTTTTGGATAGCATCAGTGCAATTCCTTGTGTGTGCGAGGAAGTTTCTTATTTATACTCAGAGTACAACAGTGTCTCGTAAATCTAATATTTTCTGTCCAGCTTGCGTCCAATAGGTTTAACTGGTTCCGGGAACCGCCAAGATATATTTCCTTATTTCTGCAGCTATTCGTCTTGTTCTGCAAGTCTCCTATTTTGGATGGAACTCTCATGTATTTATATTAATTGTTGCTCTGGCTGTCAAGGGGGGGGCATCGACGTTGGGATTTCCCAAGAATCTCGGCTTTCACCATGAGGTGTCATAATACTTTTAAATGAAGATCCTTTAACTCCTAAGATATAGTTTAAATAGTTTAAATGAGTTTTTGTAGTTAGCATTTATTTAGCAAGGTTTTTTTTCTACGGAATGGCAACACCAATAGCATGCCCAAACCCTCTCTTTTATCCGGAACTGAGGCTGGCATTAACCCTATAAGGACTACAGGCGAAATTTCTCTGATTGTTAGAGATGATTAAAGCCACACGTGTATCATACGAAAAAAAAAATCCATTTTAAAATTCATGTCGACTTAAAGTAAATTTAGTTCTGTCTACTTTCAGTGTACTTTCGTTGTATTAGGTTATTCAGATTGAGTTCTGTTCACTAACTCAGTATATTTTTGGCTGCATTATTTCATTCATTATAAAGTGTGCTACATGATTTTCAATGAATTTATCCTTGTATTGATTAATTTATTGTGGTTCTGTGGTTGGTGATAATTGTTCAGTTGATAAAATAGTGCGGTCAAAAATTGTTACACAATCGATAATTTTACTTTTCCGGAACTTCTTATCCTAGTTAGACGCCCTTGGAGAAGAGCATAGAGGCAATCTCGTTCAACGTACTTAAGTTAGAGTTGTCAATAATTAGACTGGTGTACAAATTGTTCATTCCTGGTTATCAAGAATCGATTGCATTTATTTTCTACTTTTAGTAACTCAGGAGTACAGTTCTATTTTTATGTAACGTAGTTATCAAGTGAAGGTTGACAGTATTATTGTTGTGCCTCTATCTTCTTCATTTCACGATGAATGAAATAATGCAAATAAAAATACACTGA